CCGAGGAGCCGCTCGCGGTCGCCGGAGGCCAGCGGGCCCCGCGCGCCCCGCGCCGCGGCGCCGAGCGCGCCCGCGGGCCAGCGCGCGGCGGCCTCGGCGAGCTTCGCGGCCGCGGCGGGCGCGCCGGCCGCGTCGGCCGTCGAGAGCAGCGCGGGCCGCGGCGCGTCGCTCGCCGCGGCCGCGGCGGCGATCGTCTCGACGTCGCCGAGGTTCGCGAGGCCGAGCAAATCCGACGAGAGGCCCCTCGGCACGAGGCGCAGCTGCGGGTAGCCGCCGTACTTCTGCGGCCGGCCCGCGTCCCGCGGCCAGGCGTAGGCCCCGGCGGACGCCGGGTCCCAGGCGCTCATGCTTCCGCCCGGCGGCTTGTCGCCGAGGTCGGCCGTCGGCGCGTGTCCCGACGCGTACCAGCGCCGGAGCTTGCCGCGGCCGGACAGCAGCTTCGCCGCCGCCGCGAGGCCGCCGGGGCAGGCCGCGTCGAAGCCGCCGAGCCCCCAGGGCGACCCGGCCGCGCCGACGGTGGACAGCACGTAGCGGCGGACGGCCGGCGACCGCTCGAGCGCCGGCGCGGCGACGGTGAGGAACGCGCAGAGCGCGCGCGCGTCCCCGCGCGTCGCGACGACGTCGACGCCGAAGACGGGCGGCAGGCTCGCGTTCGCCGCGAGCGCCGCGACGCCGCCCGCGTCGGCCGCGGCGAAGCGGAACGTCGCGAGCGACCGGAGGTACGAGCCGCTCTCGTCGACCCAATTCGCCGCGGCGCCGAGCGGGCCGAGGCGCAGCATCTTCAGCAGCTGCTGGTCGCCGTCGGGGTGGGCCTCGGCCATGCCGTCGTTGACGGCGAAGGCGTCCTTGGCGTCCTTGGCAGCGTTGATGACGAACTTGCTGTCGCGCGGGTTCTGGCGCCGGGAGCGGCCCCGCTGCGCGGCCGTCGACGCGGCGAGCGCGACGACGAGGAGGCGCATGCGGAGCTCGGCGGCGACGCGTCGACGTCGGATTGCGGCGGGCTCAGGGCTCGATCAGGGCCCACAGGTCTCGATCATCGCAATATTTTTGCTTCAGCGAGCCGAGTTGGCGCACACCTTGCCGCTCATAATGCGCGACACATCGTGAGGCTGCCCAAAACGGGCAACGACTCCGTCGAACTCCGGCGCCTTGGACGCCCATGATCCACCGCGAGGGCGCGGACCCGGAGGCGGACCGGCGGCGCCTCGTGCGGCACCGCATCAACCGGCGCAACGACATCGTCCAGCGGTTCCGCTGGCGGCGGCACCACAACTTCGAGCGCGACGAGCGCCAGGGCGTGCCCATCGAGGAGGGGCGCACGGTCGGGCGGCGGCCGCGGCACAAGGAGCCCATCCCGCTGCCCAAGTCCGTCGGCGCCATCAAGGACTGGCGCTACTACCGGCGCACGGGCGCGACGTGGACGGATTTGTACAACACGCCCGAGCGGCGGATCAAGCTCACGGGCTTGGTCACGAAGGACTCGCTCCGCGCGGACATCGCGGGCCTCGAGCACATCTGCGCCGTCGTCGCCGACGAGCAGCGGGCGGCTATGGAGGAGGAGGCGCGGCGCCACGCGCGGGCGCGGGAGCTCCGGACGGAGTTTTTGCGGCAGATCGCGGAGAACAAGCGCAAGCCCGGCGGCTCCGAGTACGTGCCCGCGACGCACGCGCGGCGCGACGACCCGTTGGACCCGGCGCCGCCGACCGAGGAGCCACAAGTGCGCGAGATCCGGTCGCCGCGCGAGGCGTGGCACCAGAACGCGGGCAACATCCGCAAGGAGAATTTGGCGCGCGTGCTCTCCGTGTCGCGGTCCGCGGGCGCGGGCGTCGCTACGCGCGGCGCCGCCGGCGGCGCGGCCCGCGAGCTCGCCGGGCCCGCGGCCCCTCGCGCGCGCGCGGAGCGGCGAGCGCACGGCGAAGCTCGCGCGCGGCGTCCACGACATGAACCAGCGGCGCCGCCTCTTCAACAAGCTCGGCTGCCAGGACATGAAGGGCCTGCTCGTCACGGACCGGGGCCTCGCGGTCCACATCAACCGCCTCGCGAAGGAGCTCGACGTCCAGGTGCCGACGTACCCGTTCATCCCCGAGCCCCCCCACGTGAGCCAGAAGGTCCGCTCCTAAGCCCCGCCGCCGTCGTCTTCGCTCGCCGCGGCCGCGCAGGCGTAGGCGTAGGCGACGATCTCCGCGACGTGGCGCAGGTCGTCGTCCCCGAAGTAGGCCGGCAGCGCGAGGTCGTAGGCCGTCTCGAGGAGCGCGTCCGTCCCCGGCAGCTCGAAGGTCGGCGCGCCGTAGTTGCGCCAGTTGCCGTGGTAGAACGCGTTCGCCGGCGACTTGAGCCACGCGACCTGGGCAGGACAAGAGTGCGAAATTCCCAACTTCAAAGGCTCCTCTCTCGGCCATTTTCCACTCGTTTCGGCTGATTTTTGGACGAGCGATCATCTCTCGGAACGGTCTCGAAGCGTGGATGCTTTTCCCAGAACGCGCGCGCGCGGAACACTCACGTTGAAGCGACGTTGAATCACCCTTGTCCTGCCCTGCACGCGACGGGCACGCCGAGCGCGACGCACGTCGTCCGGAAGAAGCCGTTCGCCGCCTCGTCGAGCGCGGGCACGGAGAAGGTGAGGCGGTCCCCGACGCACGACGCGCGCGGGTCGCTCTCCGGGAGCACGACGCCGCCGCCGGCCAGATCCCCGAGGCTCCGCGCGATCAACGCGTGCCGCCGGTTCGCCTCCACCACCCTGTCCGCGAGGCTCGCCACCGCCGGCCGCAGGCACGCCGCGGAGAGCTCCGACATGCGCGTCGAGAGGTAGGGCATGGTCGCCATGGCCCGCTCGAGCAGGTCGTCGTCCTCGGGCCGCGCGCCGTGTTTCCCGTAGCGGCGCTCGTAGCACCCCGACAAGTACACCAACTTCGCGGCCGTCTCGGCGTCGTCCGTCGTCGCGAAGCCCGCCTCGCCGCCGTTGAGCATGGAGTCGCTGCGCGCCCCGAAGGCCGCGACGGCGCCGAGGCGGCCCACGGGCCGGCCCCGCCACGAAGCGCCCGCCGCGTGGCCGCAGTCCTCGACGACGTCGAGCTTCCGCGCCTCCGCGAGCGCGGCGACGCGGTCCAGGTCGCAGACCCGCCCCCGCGTGTGGCTCAGCACCAAGGCCCGCGCGTCGGGGAACGCGTCGAGCTTCGCCTCGAGGTCGGCGACGTCCAACCGAAAGTGCGCGTCCGTATCGACCAAAACGGGCTCGGCCCCCAGGCGCATGATCGTCGACGGCACGCCCGTGAAGGCGAAGCCGTTGCAGACGACGCGGTCGCCGGGCTTGACGCCCACGGCCATGAGGCCGAGCATGAGCGCGCTCGAACCGGAGTTGACGCCGACGGCGAAGCGGCTCCCCGCGACGCCGTCCGCGAACTCGCGCTCCGCGCGGGCCACCTCGCTCGACGCCGCGCTGGACGCGCCGTAGCGGAAGAGGCGGCCGCTGCGCATGGCGCGCACGGCGGCCTCGATGCCCGCCTCGGGGACGGCCAGCGGCTTGCTAAAGTCCTTGGCGAAGCGGGCCGGCGCGAGGTCGCTCGTCAGCGCCTCCGTGAGCGACCGCGGCAGGCCGCGCGGGTTGCCCAGGGCACTCACGCCCACGGCGATGCGGAGGAGCGTCTCGACGAGCATGGCGCGGGAGGGCTCGAACTCGCCTCCTAGAGCGGGATCATAAGCAGCTCTTCCCTAGCTTGAGCTTCACCTTCGGCTGGGCAGCGCCGGGGCCCTAGCGCTGGCCCCCCAGGCTTGCTCGACTTCACCACGCGCTGGCTCGTGGAACAATGCCCCGGGCATGGTTAGTACCGTGCTTCACTGTCACCGTCCAAGCAGACTTCCAAACGGACGTCCCTCGGGGTCACTTTCGGGGTGGACGACCGTCCTCGCTACCCTCGTAGGACTTCTCGTTCGGTCGCCCACTGGTGAGGTCCCCAAACTTCTCCTCGGCAGCGATGGCGATTTTTGCGAAAGCAGCAGCTAGCTGGGCTGGTTCGAAGAGACCGGTCTGTGCGACGACGTCTCGTAGGAAGCTCGGTCGCAGCAGAGAGAGATCGATGTGGCGCCGGACGTCCTTCGACGCGTCCCAAAGCGCCCGACTGTTGGTCCCGTTGCTCGCCCATCTTTGGAGGATTCGAAATCTATCGGTCATTTTGGCCTCGAGACGCTCGTCGGACAGGACGAGCTCCAGGGCGTTCAGTGACAAGTCCCAGACACAGCGAACGCAGCCCATCAAATCCTCGCAGATGCGACCCTGGACGAGCTTTAAGAGGCCACTGCCGTCGGAGGTCTCTATCGCGTTGGGGGTGGACACGAGGGCTTGGAGATACTCGCCGGCCAACGCATGATCTATTTCGAGGACGCGTGTCACCTCTTTGCGCACCATGGACGACAGCGCCTTGAGCTCGTAGAGATTGGCCGCTGCGAGGAGCTCAATGCAGATAGCCGCGTTGGGCAAGAATTCTTTAAGTTTGTAGGCAATTTTGAATTCGTCCGTGTAGCAGTACTTGACGAGCGGCAGAAGCGTAGGGCCTCGGAGTTGCATCTTGACGACCTCGAAAGTGCCCTCGGCGAAACCGCCCCGCAGTAGCACCAACAGAGGCGCGCTGCGTGCCCCGAGAATCGCTCGCACTGCCAAAACCTCCATGCCGTCGATGGCGCTCTTGAGCCGCACGTCGCAGAGCTTCTCGTGTGTCGCCTCGTCCAGCAGGACTCTTGCCAAGTCTGAGCGCAGCGTAGGCGGCTCTTTCGCAACAGCAGCAGCAGCAGCAGAGCTCTCTCTCGCCTCCCTGACCCGCTTGAACCCATCGCTTCCAGGCGGCGCAGCCATTCGAGCCATTGCAGGGAGGCCACCCAAAAACGGCTCCTCCCCTTCAACTTCCCGGACAGTGCAGTTTACGTGCGGGGACAATCCCCCCGGGCCGCTCAGGAGCCGAAGATGGTCGAGAGGGCGAGCTCGACGGAGGCGTAGTTGGTCTTCTCGAGGGCGGCGTAGGCCTGCTCGACGTCGACGCCCATGTTGACGACCTGGTTGACCATGTCGGCCTTCTGCGCGTCGCTGAGCTGGCTCGGCGGCGGCGCGGCGGCGGCGCCGCCGCCCTCGACGGAGCCCATGGCGTTCTGGACGAAGACGACGACGTCGCCGAGCTGGTTCCGGGGGATGCCGTTGTCGTCGCAGAACGCGATCGCGACGGAGTCGGCGTCGTCGCCGCGGTTCCAGTTGATCTGGAGGCCCGGCCGGCCCGCGAGCTCGACGGGGAAGGAGAAGTCGAAGTTCGGGTTCGGCGGCGGCGGCGCCTCGCCGCCCATGGACACGTCGCCGCCCTGGGCCGCGTCCGCGGACGCGGCCTTGGCCGCCGCGCCCTCGAGCGCCGGCGACGGCCCGAGCCCCGCGACGGCCGTCGCCGCGGCGTGGCACGACGCGAGGATCGACTCCGCGACGTGGCCGTCCAACGCCTCCGCGGGGTCCGCCGTCCAGAGCAGCGCGCCGACGTGGTCGTCCAACCCCACGAGCAGGTCGCACCCGCGCGCGGCGAGCGACCAGACCGCCGCGGGCTGGGGCACGCGGAGGAGCACCGCCAGCGACGGCGCGGCGAACTTCGTCACGAAGCCGTCGTCGCCGCCCGCGAAGAGCGCGTCGGCCGTGCCGCAGACCGCGAAGAGGTAGCCGTCCGCGTTCGCCTTCGCGCCGCGGACGAGCGCGCCGTCCTCGGGGTCCCAGAGCCGCGCGAGCCCGTCGTTGGACACGGTGCCCACGAAACCGCCGGCGACGCAGCAGCCGCGGAGCGGCGTGCCCTTCGTGGCCGTCGCGTTGACCCAGAGCGTCGCCGCCGCGGGCGGCTTCGACGGGTCGAAGCACGCGAGCGTGCCGTCGCCGGCGGCCGCGCAGCAGGTCGGGCCCGCCGCGCCGGGGACGACGGCGATGCCGTTGACCGCGGCCCCAAAGGGCCCGAAGCGCTTCGCCGGCGCGTCGCCCACGATGTCCCAGGAGATGACCGTGCGGTCCCAGCCGCCCGTGAGCACGAGCCCGGACGCGCGGTCGTAGCAGACGCTGGAGATGATCTGGGCGTTCGTGAGCTTGGGCTCGTTCGCGAGGGGCTCGCCGTGCCCCACGTAGCGGTTCGCCGCGGACCCGTCGCGGCAGAAGGCCATGAGCGCGCCGTCGCGCGCGCCGGACAGCGCGGGCCCGCCGTCGACGAGCCCCACGGCGAGCACGCCGCCGTCGCTCATGCGCGGCTTCTCGTGGCCCCGGAGCTCCCGCGTCAGGTTGCCCCGCAGGTCCCAGAGGCGGACGACGTTGTCGAGCGCGCCCGTCGCCGCGACGCCGTCGGCGCCGAGCGCGACGCCGCGGACGCAGGCGCCGTGCGCGAGCACGGCGCGCACCTTGTAGGACCCGTCGCCCGCCTCGAGCGCGTCGGCGACGGCCTTGGCCGCCGCGCCGACGGCCGCCGCGTCGCCCTTGGCGACGAGGAACTCGCCCTCCGCGCGGAAGCCCGCGCATTGCAAAAGCGGCACGCCGCCGCGCACCTTCACGACCTTGGCGTCGATGGTCTTGTTCGTCGTGCGCAGCGACCGGAACTTGTCGTTGGCCGGCTCGCGCTCGAGGTTGCGCAGGGCCTTGATGAGCAGCTTGCGCGTGCCCGCCGCCGTCGCCGCGTCGTTGCTCTCGAGGAGCTTGAGCGCCGCCTCGACGTGGCCGAGGATCTTCACGCTGTCGTCGAGCATTCTTTTTCGCCGCGCGCGATGAAGGCGCGCGAGCTACTGCTCGGGTCGCTGGTGTGTGACTTCGCCTCCGCGCCGCTGAAGGCGCGCGAGGTGGTGCTCGGGTCGCTGTGGTCGACTTCGACGGCCGCGCGGCGACCGCGCGCCGCGTCGTCGACCGTACGCCTCCGTTCCGCCGTGTTACGCCGCCCGCTTCTTCGGCACGAGCCCGACGAACTTGGCGATGGTGTTGCCGCGCTTCGTCGTGATCTCGCACTTGGCGCACCGCGCGTACGCCTCCGCGAGCCGGGGCTCGCACGTGCACGCGGCCGCCGCGTCGAAGGCCGGCGGCCCGCCCTCCTGGCGGTCGCCGAGGGCCCCGAGCGTCGCGGCCCAGCGGTCCACGAGGCGCGGCGCCGCGAGGTGCGCGTCGAAGAAGGCCCGCGCGCCCGCGACGAGCGCCGCGCGCTTCGCCGCGTCGCGCCGGAGCGCCGCGAGCGTCGCCGGCAGGCTCGCCGCGTCGACGGCGACGTAGTGGACGCCGTCGACGAGGTGGCGGTAGTACCACTCGATGGCCGCGTGGCGCCAGACGAGCACGACGGCGCCGTGGCTGAAGAGGTACTGGAGGTTCCGCGAGTAACTCCCCGTCGCCGCGCCCGGCATGTGGAGCAGGTACTTGTAGGTGCTGTAGTTGGCCATGGGCAGGGGCGCCACGCGCCGGGACGCGCCCGCGGCGGGCACGACGCCGTGGCGCGCCGCGAGGTCGTCGACGCACTTTTGTAGGGTCTCGTAGCCGTCGACGGCCGTGAAGCCCGCGTCGATTTCGCCGTCGAGGCCCCGCAGGCTCAGCAGCTCGAGCCGCGCCTTGGCGCCGGGGCCGCAGGCGCCGCGGAAGAGCACGCGGTCGTCGCGGCCGTCGAAGGGCCGCGCGGCCGCGGCTTTCGCGGCCTTGGCGGCGTACTCGGCCCACCACTTGGGCGCGACGAAGAAGGGGTTCGGCACGAGCAGGCCCGGCTGCGTCGCCGGCTCGCGCTTGCCGAAGCCCAGCGTCGGGAAGCGCTCGCGGCGCGACGGGCCGGACGCGGTGTAGACCATGCAGAACGAGAGCCAGCGCCGCGGCAGGCGGCCGCTCGCGGCGAGGTCGGCGAAGGTGCCCCGCAGGAGCATGTCCATGAGCATCTGCTTGCCGCTGCCCGCGACCGTGCCGAGGTCCCGCGCGTGCACGAGGCCGCCGCTCGGGTCCACGTAGACGCAGACGCCCAGCGCGCCGCGCGCCGGCCGCGCCGGCGACGCGCAGTGGGGGATGGTCCGCGGCAGCGTCGCAAAGTAGGCCGCCACGTCGTCGTCGGCGCAGGCGCAGGCCGCGAGCGCGAGGAGCGCCGCGCGCATGAGAGGATTTGAGACGATCATGAGCAGCCCATCGTCACCCCTGCAAGCACCGCTGTAACCTGAAACCTTGAGCAGATCTTGAGCCCAGAGCTTATGGCTGCCCTCTTCTCCCCCGGCGGGGCGACGAGCCCCTCGTCGGGCCGGACGACGAACGAGATCTCCTACCTCCAGCCCCTGGAGAACCTGACGTCCGAGCAGCTCATCCAGCTCCTGGAGGAGCGCCACGTGGCCACGGACGACTGCCTCAGCGGCGGCGAGCTGCGGGCCCGCGCGGCCAAGCACAACCTCGGCGGCATGCTCCACGTGGGCCAAGCGGCCATCGTCGCCAAGGCGCGGGAGATGCTCGTCGTCATGAGCCGCCTCGACCGCGAGATCGCCTTCCGGCCCGGCTCCGAGCTCGGGTTGATGCTCGCGCAGGCGAACGAGTGGGCCGTCGTCAAGGCCACGCCCCCGAAGTGGGAGACGAAGGTGCGCGTCGGCGACGCCCTCGCGGCCGTCAACGACGAGCACGTGCTCCTCCGAACCTACGAGGACATGTTCGCGGCCGTCGTCCGCGCCAAGTCCTCGAAGCTGCCCTACACGCTGACGTTCCGCCGCGCGCCCTTCCACCGGGGCTGGCTCTACAAGAAGCCCAAGGCCGGCCGGGGCAAGGAGAGCGGCTTCTTCTCCGGCGCCACGGGCTGGAAGAAGCGCTATTTCGTGTTGGCCTACGGCGTCTTGGCCTACTACGACGACCGCGCGGAATGCGGCGGCAGGCACAAGGGGTTCTACACGCTCCAGAACTCCAACGACCACCAGTGTCTCGTGACGTCGGCGCCGGCGGCGATGATGAACAAGTCCGACAAGGACCCCGGGCTCATGCTCGTCAAGGGCGACGAGCGGCTCGTGCTCAAGTCCGCGGCGGCGCCGTCGGACGTCCACAACTGGGCCGCGCTGCTCTACCTGGCCATCGCGCACGCCAACGGCGGCAACGACGTCATGCGCGGCGTCGAGAAGGAGCGCCTCGAGAAGCTCGACCACGCGAAGCGGGCCCGGGCCGCGAAGAAGGGCGAGCCCGCGGCCGCGGCGGCGCCGCCGAAGGCGAGCGACCGCGCGGCCGCGCCGCTCGTCGTCGACGGCGCCGCGGACTGGAGCCCGGAGGCCGACGACGCCGAGGGCGACGTCCCGTCGCTCCTCGCCGACGCGAGCTCGTCCATGTCGAACCTGTCCCTCGCGTCGCCGACGGCCCCGGGCGAGGGCGCCGTGCTTGCATTTTAGCGGGCCGCGGCGGTTATTTAAAAGCCTCGCAAACTTGAAGCTTTCTAGCGGGCGCGGGCAGCCTCTCGATCATCGAGAGCCACAGCCACTGTTGCGTGCGCTCTCGCGCCGCCGAGTGCCATGGCGGCCAAAAAGGGCGAGAGCGTCTGGCTCTCGGACCCGGAGGAGGGCTTTTTGCCGGCGACGCTGCTGGGCAGCCTCGACGACGCGGGCGCGTCCGTCGAGCTCCCGGACGGGTCGACGCGCGCCCTGACCGCCGACGAGCGGAGCAAAGCGCACAAGGTCGACGGCGAGAATTTAAGGGCCTGGAGCGACATGCTCAACTTCGGGGACCTGAGCGAGCCGCCGCTGCTGCACAACCTGCGGCTGCGCTTCGCGGAAGACGAGATCTACACGTCCGTGGGCGACATCCTGGTGGCGCTCAACCCCTTCCAGGCGCTGCCCATCTACGACGGCGACCGCATCGCGCGCTACATGCAGGGCGGCGCGTCGAACGACGAGAAGCACGTCTTCCTCACGGCCGACGCGGCCTACGGCGATTTGCGGCGGTCCGGCGGCGACCAGGCCGTGCTCATCTCCGGCGAGTCCGGCGCGGGCAAGACGGAGACGATGAAGCGCGTGCTCCAGTACCTCGCGGCCTGCAGCGCCGCCGGGCCCGCGGGTCTAGGCGCCGGGGGCCACAGCTCCCTCGAGGACCAGATTCTGGCCACGAACCCTTTGACGGAGGCGTTCGGCAACGCGAAGACGGTGCACAACAACAACAGCAGCCGCTTCGGCAAGTGGACGGAGCTGGGCTTCGACGGCAAGGGGTCCATCGTCGGCGCGTCCATCACGAACTACCTGCTGGAGAAGGCGCGCGTCGCTTTCCAATCGGACGGCGAGCGGAACTACCACGCGTTCTACCAGGTCGTCGGCGCGGGCGCGACGCCCGGCACGGAGCGCAAGTCCCTCGAGGAGTTCCGCTACCTCACGCAGTCGTCGGCGAAGACCGTCGAGGGCATCGACGACGCGTCGGACTACGCGGACATGGTGCGGGCCCTCGAGACGCTCATGCCCGACGTGAAGCGGGACGTCCTCGAGGTGACGACGGCGTGCCTCCACCTCGGGTCCTGCTGCTTCGAGGCCGAGGCCACGGGCAAGGACATCGGCGAGGCCTGCAAGGTCGTCCGCGACGGCCACTTCGACCACTTCGTGAAACTGTCGAAGTGCGACGCCGACGAGCTCGCGTCGTCGCTGGTCCAGCGGCGCCTGGGCACGGGCCGGCGGTCCGTCGTCTTCGTCAAGTTCGGCGACGTCGAGGCCGGGGCCGTGCGCGACGCCGTGGCCAAGGGCCTCTACGGCGCGCTCTTCGACAACCTGATCACGCGATTGAACGCGTCGCTCGCGCACTCCGGCGCGTCCAACGACGCGAAGAAGGGCCGCGCCATCGGCGTGCTCGACATCTTCGGCTTCGAGTGCTTCGCCGTCAACTCCTTCGAGCAGCTCTGCATCAACTACTGCAACGAGAAGCTCCAGAACTTCTTCACGCACCACATCTTCCACGTCGAACAGCAGGCCTACGCGAAGGAGGGCGTCGACGTCTCCGCCATCGAGTTCGTCGACAATTCGAACACTCTAGACACGCTGGACAAGGGCCACAAGAGCGTCTACGGCATTTTGGACGAGGAGCTCCACGTGCCGAGGGGTTCGGACGCGGGCTTCCTCGACAAGACGATGGCGGCGTTCGGCGGCAAGAAGTCGGACAACGTCGTGAAGCGGCCCAAGGGGAGCAAGAGCCGCGACTCCTTCGAGGTCGTCCACTTCGCGGGCACGGTGTGCTACCTGACGACGGGCTTTTTAGAAAAGAACCGCGACGAGGTGCCGCCGGACGCCGTCGAGGCGTTGACCGCTTCCAAATCACCCTTCATCTCCCAGCTCTTCGCCCGCGGGGGCCCGCCCGACGGCTCGCCGAAGCGCGACCGGGCGTCGTCGTCGGGGGGCAAGAAGCTGAGCCTGGGCGCGCAGTTCCGGAACCAGCTGCATCAATTGACGGACCGCATGCGCGAGTGCGCGCCCCACTTCGTGCGGTGCGTCAAGACGAACAAGCCGAAGAAGCCGAGCCTCTTCGAGGGGAACCTGGTGCTGCGGCAGCTGCGCTACTCGGGGCTCCTCGAGGTCTGCCGCGTGCGCCGCGCGGGCTTCCCCTGGCGGCTGCCGCGCGACGGTTTCGTGCGGTCCTACGGCGTGCTGGCGCCGCTGCTGCGGAACACGCCGAAGATGAGCCCCGAGGCGCTCTTCGCCGTCGTGGCGCCGAAGCTCGGCGACGGCCAGATGGCCCTGGGGAAGACGACGATCTTCTTGAAGTCGAAGCGGGACCTCGACGACGTGTTGGACGAGCTCTCGTCAACTTCCGGAAGCGCGTGCGCGACTTCTGCCTGAGCCGCGTCCGGAAGATGACCTGGACGAAGATCTTCAGGCTCTTCAAGGACGTCCGGGTCGCGCTCGAGGAGGAGGACGCCTTCGTGTTGGACGGTGCGGTGAAGAAGTTCCCCAAGCTCCTCCCCTTCAAGGGCGCGCCGAAGCACGCGCTCGTCGTCAAGGCCACCAAAAAGGTCGGCGAGCTGCAGAAGGAGCTCGCCGTCTGCCGCGAGATCGAGGCCGTCGTCGACGGCGGCGACGAGAAGGCGATCAAGGCCGTCGTCGCCAAGTACGGCCAGGGCGACGTGCCCAAGGGCCGCCGCGGCGCCGTCGCACACGCGCGCAAGGTCCTCGCGAGCCTCGAGGAGGAGGCGCGGCTCCTCAAGGCCGCGGCGGACGCGCTCGCCGCGGCCGACGGCGCCGGGGCCAAGGCCGCGTGCGACGCGCTCCGGGATTTGGCCGAGGCCTGCGGCCGGTCCGCGTCGCCGACGCTGAAAGCGCTCGACAGGGCGCTGCGCGCGCTCGACGCGCTCCAGAAAGCGCTCGAGGACGAGACGTCCTCGGCGGACGACGTCGCGAAAGCCGCGGCCGCGGAGGGGCTGCGGCCGTCGCCGCTCGCGGACTGCGCCAAGTGCGCCCTCGCCGCGCGGCGGCACCTCGACCCGGCGACGGCCGTGGACCTCGCGGCGGCGGCGACGACGAGCGCCGCGGCGGCCGCCGCCGCGAAGCGGCTCCCCGAAGGCTCGAAGCCCCTCGGGTTTTTGGCGAAATCAAACGCGGCGCTCGCGGCGCTCGCGGGGCTCGAGGCCGTCGTGGAAAAGGCGACGTCGCCGGACGCGGACCCCGACGCCATCCAGGCACCGCTCGACGCCGCGCTCCGCGCGGCGCGGAGCGCGGGCTTCGAGGACGACGTCGAACCCTTGGTGCGCGAGGCCGCGGCGCTCGCGCGGCGCCTCGGCGGCATGGCCGACGCCATGGGCGCGCTCGAGGCCGTCCTGCGGCGGGACGACGCCACCGTCGAGGACCTCGAGCGGGCGCTGGACGCCGCGCGCGCCGCGGGCGCGGAGGCCACGAAGCCGTACCTCCGGGGCCGCGCGCGCGCGGACCTGCTCCTCGCCGTCGACGCCGCGAAGCGGTCCGGCGCCTGCGACGGCTCCGACGTGCCCCGCAAGGGCGACGAGGACGAGTTGGCCAAGGCCTGGCCCAAGGTCGGCTTCAACCTCGTCGCGGCCGCGGAGAAAACTTTATCGCTCGACGCCGGCGACGTCGACGCCGCGGGCTTCAAGGCCGAGGGCGACCGCGTTTTGAAAAAAGCGAAAGCCCACGAGAACGCGCACCGCGCGGCGCGCGACTTGGACGTGGCCGCGCTGGGCCGCAATTTGCGTCTCGCGCGCGAGGCCGCCGTGCCGCCGCGGTTCCTGCGCTCCGCGGACGCGCAGCGCGCGCTCCTGCAGCACGCCGCGACGCTGTTGGGCGGCTCTCTGGGCGAGCGCGCGGCGGACCCGGACGCTTTTTTGAACTCGGAGGACGCGCCGCCGCTCGACGCGCACGCGTACGACAACGTCGCGAAAGCCGTCGACGACTGCGCGGCGTGCGGCGCGGCGGCGACGCCGGCGCACGCGCTGGGCGTGGCGCTCCGCGACGGGCCCCTGAAGGCGCTCCGGGCGGCCAAGGCGGGCGTCGACGACGCGGGCGTCTGTCTGCGGGTGGCTCTGGAGCCGTTCCACCTCGGCGACGACGGCTGGCCCAGCGGCGCGGAGGAGGCGTTGGCGTCGGCCTGCGACGGTTTGGAGCGCGCGCTCGCGGACGCGGCGGCCGCGGGCGCGCCCGTCGCCGGCGGCGACGACGCCCTCGAGGCCGCGCGGGACCGCGCGGCGAAGTTGCGGGCCGTGTCGGCGGCCGCGCGGGCCGCGCTCGCGAGCGCGGAGGTGCTCGACCGGGCCTGCGACGTGTCGCGCAAGGCGCCCGCGTCGCCGGAGAGCAAGCGCCGCCGGGAGCCGTCGCTCGCGGAGGCGCTCGCCGAGGCCGTCGCGGCCTGCGAGGCGGACCCGGAGCTCCGGGACGTCCGCGATGTCCGCTGCGCGCGGCGCCTCGCGGACGGGCTCGCGGCGCTCGAGGCCGTCGCGCGCAAGTGCGTCGAGGGCGCGACGGCGTCGAGCGCCGACGCGTCCGCGGAGCTCGAGGCGGCCATGGCCCGGGCGCTCGACGAGGCGCTCGCGCGCGCGCCGCGGGGCGCGGACGTCGACGGCTGCCGGAAGGCGACCCAGAAGCCCCTGGACGCGAAGAAGCGCGCGGACCGCTGCCGTGTCGAGCTCGGGTCCCTCGGCCAGCACCTGGCGAAGCTCACGGGCAGCGGCACGAAGGCCATCTCCGACGCGGCCGCGCGCGCGGCCGCGTCTTTGTCGTACGCGGCGAACTGCGGCTTCGACGATCGCTGCGCGGAGTACGCGGCCGTCGAGGAGCACGTGCACCGGCTCCGGCGCTGCGACGACGCGGGGTCCGCCGTCGTCGAGTGCGAGCGCCGCGGGGATCTCGCGGGGCTGGCCGTGGCGCTGCGGCGCTGCGACGTCTTGGGGCTCACGGAGGAGAACTGCGTCGATTTGCGCGGCGCGAGGAAAGCTTTGGAAGACATGGAGTCGTGCGCGGCGTGCGCGGAGCAGTTGGAGCGCGCGCTCCAGCGGCCCCACAGCGACCCGACGACGCTGGCCAAGGTCTTGGAGGACGCCGCGTCCCTGAAGCTCAACGTGTCGCGCGACTTCGCGGAGAAGGGCGTCGCGGCTNTGCGGTTCGCGCGGACGCGCGTCGCGCTCGAGTGCCTCGCGACGGAGGCCATCGACGAGCAGGACGTCGGCGCGCTGCGGGACGTCGCCGCGCGGGCGACGCGCATGGGTCTACTCGAGGAGACGCCCGACGCGCCGCGGCACCGCACGAACTCGAGCGGCCACCTCGTGCTCGAGCAGCCCAGGAAGGTCGACGTCGGGGTCCCCTCGCGGCACCTGCGGCCCACGCGGTTGGGCCTCGACGACGATTTGGACGAGATGGGCTCGGCGGCGACGGACGCGACGACGTGGCGCGGCTGGGGCGCCGTCGTGCGGGCGCTGCGGGATTTAGAGGCCCAGGCCGCGCTGAAGAAGGCGGACCCGACAAAATCCGCGGACATGTTCGTGCCGTCGCGCGAGCCCGGCGGCGCGAAGCTGAAGCTCACGGTGAAGCGCACGACGACGGCCGTGGGCCGGTCGTCCGTGCTGTCCCTGGGCGAGTCCGTCCACCTGAAGTACGTCGCGTGCGCCGTGTCGTCGGCCGGAAGCGTCAAGGTGAAATTGGACGACGGCGCGTTCCGCGGCGACCGCTCGTCCGCGCACCACGGGATGACGCTCGCGGGCGCGCGGACCATGGGCGTCGTGCTCAAGGAGACGTGGCGGTCCCACGGCCCCGTCGCGGCGCTCGTCGACGACCTGTTGGATCGGCTCCGGCTCCCGCGGAGCGAGCGCGCCTGGCGCGAGCTCGCGGAACTGCTGAACGTCGCGGAGCTCGGCTGCTTCTACGCGGACCCGCGGGGCACGGAGCAGCTCGACGGCGTCACCGTGCCCGAGGCGGAGCGCTGCGTCGACTCGCGCGAGCGGCGCCGCGCGGCGCTCGACGCGTCCGTCGACGCCTTCGTCGACGTCCTGGGGTCCCTCGCGGCGAACGCGCCCCAGTCCTACGGCCGCGGGCCCGACGACTCGCCCCGGGGGTCCTCCGTCGACGGGCCGGCGTCGACGGACGCGGGCGACGACGACGACGACCTCCCGCCGGGCTGGGAGCGGAAGGTCTCCAAGTCCAAGGGCGGCCGGGTCTACTACGTCCACCGCGAGAGCCGCAAGACCCGGTGGCGCAAGCCCAAGCGCGCCGCCGTGGACGCGGAGTAAGGGGTCTTGGGGGTAGGGTCTGTTCTTAGGTGTTGTCCATGGGACAAGAAGGAGGCGACGACGCCGCAGGCGTCGTCCGGCGCGCGCCGGCCAAATTTGGCCTCGAAGAACTTGGGCAGGAGGTTGGCATACACGCGGCGGTGAATCTTTTTGAACGCGTCGTAGCCGCCGGCCTCGGCGACCTTGTCGTGGAAACGCCAGGCGGACGCATTAAAATTGTTGCGTTCGATCATCACTTCGATGTCACGGTGCTGGAGCGTCGTGACGATGGCCGCGCCGTGCTGGAGCAGCAGAGCGAGGACGCGTCGATGACCGCTACCAAGAGCCTGAGCATAGGGAGACTGCCCGAGATTTGGATCGGCGCCCGCTGCGAGAAGCATTTTCAACATCGCAGCATCTTCATGGTAAGCTGCGGTGAAAAGAGGTGTCCATCCATCCGTGTCCATCTTATCCACGTCTGCGCCCGCATCCACGAGTACTCGGACGACGTCCGCGTGGCCACTCACAACTGCATAGTGAAGCGCCGTCCAAAGAGCAGAACCCGTTTTAGCATCGACGTCTGCGCCCCCGGCTAGGAGCGCGACGACTTCGCTCACGCGCCCTTTTTGAGCCGCGACGTGCAAGGGAGCCATACCGCGCCGCTGTCGCCTTCCCAAACTGACCTAGAGCGCGCTTGCTACGGCTCGAGTCTCCATCGGCTGCTCGGTCTGAGGCACCATTCAACAAAAAGAGCACCATTTACCTGGGCCTGGCTGTCGACCGCGCCGGCGTCTGGAGCAACCGTGGATCGGCGCGGCGGATCTCGCGACGGGCCCGAAGCTCAAACAAAATGGCCAAGGCGAAGAAGAAGTCCGGCAAGATCGACGTCGCGTCGCTCCTGAAGAAGCAGAGCCGGAACCTCGCCGCCGTCTACGAGGTGCGCGACGACGCCGACACGTCCGGCGACCCGGGCGAGCTCGCGAAGGAGTGCACCGTCGGCGCGGTCCTCGGCGCCAAGGTGACGAAGGGCTTCGAGGTGGACGGATCCACGGTGCGCTTCGACGGCACCGTCGTCGAGCTGTGGCTCGACGACGACCTGAAGACCGTCGCCCACGTGATTTACGACGACGGCGACGAGGAGGACCTGTACCTCTCGCAGATCACGTCGAAGCGGGCGCCGCCGCGGAAGCGCGCGAAGGTCGGCCGGCCGCCGTCGGCCGCGTCGCCCGCGGGCAGCGGCGGCGAGCCCGGCGCGGCGACGCCGCCGTCCGCGGACGAGGCCGGCGACTCGCGCGCGTTTCCCGCGGCGCCCGCGGCGCCCGTGGACGCCCGGCCCTGGCAGAAGAGCGGCAGCGGCTGGATCGGCGTCCGCTGCGCCATGGGCCTCCGGTCCGACGAGACGGGCGACGTCGAGGCGTGGCTCTCCGCGGCCGACTCCTCGTACAAGGACGAGTTCGGCCACAGCGCGCCGCTCTGGCGCGTCCGCGGGCCCCGGGGCACGACGGCCATCCTCGAGCTCAACGAGCTCAAGTGCTGCGTCGACACGCAGAGCCCGCGGGCCTAGCGCGCGCGCGGCCTAGCCAGTGAAAGCTACCGTCGCTTGTACGCGCC